CACAAGTCGGCTAACGTTTCCACAAGATAACCGTCTGTGGAGTTACCGCTCTATAAGGCCTAGCCCTTCTACCGGAACATTGAATACGCCCACGGGCGGAACTGCTGGGCTTTGGAGGTCTTCTTAGGGTGGTATAGCATTTGATCGTATGACTCATATCTCGGTAAGCTCATGAAAAGGCAATTCCTGCCGAAACGATAGCCGACTGGTGTTTATCACAACCTTGTTCCGAGTTACAGAAGAAGTAAATATCGAGCTCTTTTTGGATGTGTTTATACTGGCGACTCGAGCGACAGAATCGACGGAGTTACAGGACGCGCTCTCGAGATTCCGTCCTTTGAGTTGCGCAACACGACACTATAAGTGGAGTATCGTTACCCAGCTTCTTATTTATTTCGCCCTACCATGTAGCAAAAGTGTGATTCATTTATAATTGCCAAACTCTTGATTCGCCCGCGGCGTACTACATCTCTGGTGTTGATGCACTCTTTATCTCAAAAGGGTTCTCAGACAACCCGTGATGGTTATGCTATGCAAACTGAGACTCGCTAGCGACATGAATTTCCAAACTATCGCAGAGAAACCATGCAGCACCATATGCGGGCACCGCACACAAACGAACATTTACTTGAAGCTACCCGTCTCAAGATTCAAAATAATAACACAAAACATAAACGGATAGGTCAAAATCGAGTTCAGAGAGTATGAGCGCGAGTTCCAAGATCCATTTAGAGCTGGCTAGTTTCCATGGTAGTAGCTGTAAAAGAGAAAAATTAATAATGGAGAGAAGAAGAAGGGCCCGGATTATTTCAGCTCATTCGAGGCACGACATGGCGAAAGAATCATTGCAAATATAGCGCCCAACAAAGATTCGAGTGGATGCGTTCATGCATTTTTTCGCGGCGCCATCGCTTCTGCCAGACGTTGCCACGAAGGGCGTAGCCATTGATGAACCTAGCACTATACGATAGGTTTCGTTGATACCTCACCTAGAGTGACAGTGAGCGCCTCCAGATTACCCTCCCCCTCAACATAGAGCTGATGGCGGCTGAATCCTTGGTAAAGGACGAAGCGAGCTAATTTGTACTGACTAGATACTCATGGAGACAGTGATAACACCAATTAGAAATAGCCTCTATCATAATGTCAAAGTTCACGGTCAGTCAGATTGTTTGAGTAACAAAATGATTTTGGAAAACTGGGCCTCCACCTTCATATGGCTCCTCCTCCACCCTCTGCGGTTGTGGACTACCCGTTCTCTGTGAGAAACTTGTGGCGGTGGAAGGGAACAGGTTTCTCTAAGGCGTTAACGGTAGTCTTAAAGAAATTTGTTTCTCTTGTGATCCATTACCCTTGTTTCATAAGAGAACGGTGCAGAATCTCCTCGCGGAAGAGAACCCATTGGGATGAACCACATTTCCGTGATTCATGATTTCCGCTGCACCTGTATATGCGGTCATTATCACTAAAGTCGTTTGGGGCGTGTCAGCAGGGTGCTGTTGGTTTTAGCACAGCGTCAGCCCCTTCCCCGCCACTCACTGGACGTACAAAATTGTAAATATTAGTGAGAAAAGGGATGGCACCGCGCCCATACCCTGGCGTCGGCAGAAGCTAGTGACAAATACTGTGGGACTACAACACTCACCTAATCTCCTCTCGCAGATATTCAGCAATAACTCACCTAAAATCTGCGAGAGCGGGTAGTTTCCTGATGAGATAATCGGTTTCCTCCTTGTCTAACTTTTGAAACGACTTGTAGATACTTGAAAACATTTTCATTAATCTTTGAAATGTTTACGAGCAAAACAAGCAGGGATAAACGAAGTTCACTCTGTATTGGCATCAGATGCAGAAAACGTTCCACGTCGCACCAAATCCGCCCGTGAAAGCACCTGAAACAGAGTGGAGAGTCCTCAGAGATACTCTTCTAAAAGGATCGATATCACACTCACAAAATAGAGCACCCTTAAAGCCTCGTCATGCCCAGAGTTCACCATTTCGTCGCGCAACCTCCAGATATTTTGCATTTTTTCGTGCAAAGAGGGATTTTCTCTCTTCAATTCTTCGCTGGTAACCAACCAACGAATGTACTAAATATATAACAAAAATACACGTTGAAGCATTCTTTCTGCCAAGGAGCAGAGAAGTGAGCTGAGGCGTGTCGGAGATTATGGCATTACTTTCCAGTCACGGCACCGTTAGTTGACTCAGGGAGGCAGTCGTAGTCATGCCTAGTGGGTGGGTGCTGCTGCGGATGCAGCGCACGTCATCCCGCTTCAACCGCCTACTTCGGTGGGGTGTGAAGATATTGTTGGGCCGGTGTACGGTAAGGCAAGTGTATGGTACTGTAGAGTGGGAGGAGCCTTGCCATCTATCGCCTGACGCTTGCCTGTGGCATGACCTCAGTTAATTGCCTGGGCTAACTATTCACCTCTCGCCAACAGCCTTTCAAATAAAGCTTAGCAGTATGGTCGTGATGAATGTGAAGATAGACCCTCTCTATTTTTATCAACTGATTTACAACCTACAACTACTGCTTACCTGTAACTCGTCATCAGTGTTCCTAACACGAAACCTTCATGAATTCTTTGTATGAAAGTTCTACTACCTTGGAGAGAGAAGACGGCGGATTCGCCTTCTCTCAGCTCCAATCACTTGTTATCACTTTATGTCACTCACCGTTAATGCCCCTATATCACTATTCCCTGTCGAAATCAACCTTCTACAACTCCTACGATTGAGCTGAATATATTGAGACCAGTTTGGCTAACGCGCAATACTGCGCGCATGGTTATGGTACTGGTCACTGAGGGGGTTTCTCTGCTGAGCACAACACTTGGCCCAATCCCCTTGTTTCGGAAT